TCTAATGTCCACTGTGTTCATTATTTAAATTGCATTTATGATGTAATAGATAAAAGGGTTTCTTTAATTAAATGACAAATGCATACAGCTTGTCATTCAGGACATCAGACAACACATTCAAATCACTTTTTGATGGAAGTTTTTGGTTAAAGTATAAGTCAACAGATTGTGTTGTGTAGTGTTAGAAATTAAAATCAATATTCAATGACGTAATTTAGTTTAAACGCACAGTAAGCTTTGTCGTAGCAGCTTTAAAATCAGCTGGGGTCTAGAGAGAATAATCAGTTAGGTGACAAACGTACAGCAACACAATGTTCGTATTGAAAGCAATAAGGATCTTTATATTTGCAAGTATGTACTGTTCTGAGTGAAACAGGCTCTCTTTATGGGAGGACATCAAAGCAGATTTGCAATACAACAACATTCTGGGAGGCCAGCTGATACCCCCTCTGGCACTATGCAAAACCATCTCACCCTACAAGACAGTGAGATATACACAGACACAGTATGCAAAACCTCACCCCCTAAACGCGTCTAGGCCTAGGCTCCACGAGGACGAAAACGGGTTGAATCCGCATATTTCTCATGCGTATAGCCCTTTAAGCTCGACGACGCCGTAACAGAAACGTAGAAACAGACCCCGCAAACGACAACGGGTCCAAAGGTGGATAGATCTGGGAACGGAGCGCTCTGGGGGGTCCAACGGGGCCGTGGGGTCGCCTATACGGTCACCCGTTTCATAGCCCCGCCTCTCCCCACCTCTCCCCACCTCTGCTGCTCACCCCCGCAAAAGTACACTGCACACTGAATTCAGATTATTTATCTTTATCTCGATATGGACATAAACGCGAGTGAAGTCTAATCTGACAGGACGGAGACACGCAGCTCCTCAGGCTGTGAAGCAGCGGGAGCAAAACACACACTTCAAGTCAGATCACCACCCTTAGCTATTTTAATTACCTCTCAAACTACCTAAACTAGTTATAAATATGTTTATTTTTACTGTCGGGTTTACTTACTGGATCAGCTGCTGCATGAGGAAGCATGAAGATTTAAACTTTAACACACATTGACCGGCGAAAAACTCTGCGCGGTTCCCTCCGCCCCCACCGCGGAGAATAAACAGAAGTGCAGCCATGACAACCATTCTTCTTCGCTGCTTTTGTGGAGGAAGTTGCTGCTTTTGTGGAGGAAGTTACAGCGCCACGTACAGGTTCGGCATATGTACTGCAGCTTTTCCAGCGGTTGGATGTAAACGGAGCCGTCTCGTGGAGCTTGACACAATCCGGTGTATATTGCGTGTGGTCGGAAGGTTTTTTGCGGTTGCGTTTGCGTTACTCCGATGCGTTTTGCCGTATGTGTTCTCGTGGAGCCGGGGCCTCATACATTTAAGGTTCACTCTCAGAGAGATGACCTAATCAGAGAAACTAAGACAATGAGAAAGAGGAGGGAAGTTCCCTCCTTACGTCACCGCCCACCATTGATGAGGAGGAGTCACCACTGAGATATAGAGAGAGGTGACGGAGCTCGAGAGACACTTCTTCTTCTTCACCACAAGACTTCACCCCTTCACCCCGGCGATCAACAGCTGCTCTGTCTCTCCTCTTACCCTCTGCTTGTTGTATCATCGTGCCATTTAATTAAACTCAACCAATTTGAACCTTTCCGGAGACTCCATTAGTCTCTTCATTCTAAGCTTCTCTCCTGGGCGCGAGAACAACGAATACTTCTAACAGTAGACCTTTGACATGACTGATAAAAGGAATACTCGCTTTTAAATGTGCTTTATAAATAAAACTTGATTTGATTGATTTGATTTGATGACTGATAAAAGGAATACTTACAAAAAAAGAATGTTTAAAAAACATTATTTTATTTACGTAAAGTTTGATTTCCATAGTTTCTCTTTTGTTATCTGGACTTATAATTTCACAACTTCACACTCATTTTATATTTAATATGCCATTCTTGCACACTAAATGTAACTAATATCCCACCCCTATATATTTTCTAATCTTTTATTTCTAATTATGTGCAATACTTGTTTTACATACTGCTTATCTTTTCAGTTTAACTGCATTGTGATTGAGGATAGTCAGACAGGATTGTTCTTTATCATTGGTTATCACAACAGCAATTTAAAGTTTGGTTACAACAATCACAAAGTACACAGCACACCTACTAACGTCACAAAGTAATCTACCAGCAATAATCCATTGCATTGCGTTGTGGCAAATGTAGAGGATGGTTCAATGTCTTCCTGCAGTCTCTGGACTGGACCACCCTGTGCTTTTTGGAAGGATACCTCTGCATTTGAAACCCCTCCTGGTCCTATTCAAATTATTAAGGATTATTTTCACCCAAGGCAACTGTTGGTCTGGAACATCAGGTCTTAGGCAGCCTAAAGACTCTGACCAAACCGACGCCAAAATAATACTTTTGACTGAGCTTCTGTTAATTGCATCACGGTTCTGCTTCTTGGCAAAAAATACACTACAGCCAGCAGCCAACTATCACTCATGTTCTTGCACCTGCCTGATAGAAAATAACTCAATTTAACAGCAGGCAGCAGTAGACTGTATTTGCACAATTACTACTCCAGTTAAAAAAAAAAAAAATACTGACACACTGCTGTCTTTTTATCATTTTGTTTATTTCATTCATCTGCTTCATAACTAGCAATGAGCATTACGTTACATTTTATTCAAAGCAACTTACAATAAGTGTAATAAACCATAAAGCAACACACAATGAGAAACATGCAGGTATATACGCTTCAAATAAGCTAAACCATTGTGATTGCTGGTGCATTGTTTTAAAATGGTCCTAACCATTTCAGTGCTACAATCTTTTCTTTGGTTTAAGTTTAAAGGCCAAGGTATACAAGTGACACAGGTAGGTTTTCTGTTTGTGACAAAGATTGGTGACCTGCTATGTCAGCACAACCAATGTAAATTCCCTCGGCAGAAAAAAAGGCCGGCATCCGATCATGAGGTGCTCTAAATGAGGAGAACAGTCCGAATAAATAATCCCCACATCCGAGCACCAGTTATTGTTCACCATAAAGCACACACCTCCCTTACTTTTCCCTGAGTTTACAGTCCGGTCCTGGCGAGAAATAGTAAATCCGTCGGGGACAATGACGGAGTCCGGGATAGAGGTGTTGAATGCAAAACATGTGGCACAAAAAGCACAGGCAGCAATGCAAAGCAATGCATTTCCTGCGTATATGATTCAGTTGTTTTGATTTGATTCTGTGCGCTGGAATCTGTATCTTGATTGATACACGGCTTGCAAAATGCTGGTAGTCATAATTTTGACTAGAAATATAGCCTTTATACTAAAAAACAACCAGAAAGGTATTTAGCTTCCTCTATATTTTCACTGATGGATGGCAGTAGTCTTGCAGCCAGAGATTAGGCGGACACCTGTGCCCTGTAAGAAGCAGGATTAGCGGTTAGCGAGGTGATTTCAGGGTCGGTCCTACGACGCTGGTTCACTTCTTACCGGGGTAGCTTATGCTGAACACATAGCAGGTTATGTTCCAGATAAGAGATCAGCGTATAAAAGCTCTGCCTATTGACCAATGAATTCTCTGTGAAAATGATGTCAACATTTGTCGATGACACTGTGGAGCTCGGAGCGAGAATTGTGAGAGGCGCTCTCAGGAGGGAGAGGATATTTAGGGACAGACAAAACCCTTTGGCTTTCTCTGATGAGTATTTGTATGAAAGATACAGGTTCTCGTCAGAAGGGCTGACTTATCTGTGTCAGCTCCTCGAGCCAAACATTGCTAATGCCACACGTCGGAGTCGTGCACGTGCCGCAGACTGTATGGCTTGCTTTGCATTACTTTGAAACCAGCAGTTTTCTGTATGCTGTGGGTGATGCAGAGAACCTAAGCAAGAATACAGTCTGCAGTGCTATTCTTGAGGTCGCACATGCTCTGACAGGGTTCGCACACTCCTTTGTTGTGTCCTGCCACATGTCCCACGCAGACGATCAAAGAGGGATTTTACAACATAGCAGGTATTGATATCGTTATGTGACTATATCTTTACAGTGAATGTTGCTCCTATGACGTAATAATAATAATAATACATTTTATTTTGGGGGCGCCTTTCATAGCACCCAAGGACACCTTACAGGGCATAGGGTAATATACTGTAGGGACCATTTAAAACAGTGGATTTAATGCAATGTCTAAAACAAGACGTACACTGTTGTATAATAAATGCAGCCTTCTATTTCATAGGGTTTACCAGGCTGCTTGGCTGTATAGACTGTACACACATACCCATATCTGCGTGTCTGGGAGAAAATTAAGGCGACTATGTTAATCGCAAATCAATCCACAGCCTCAAGATTCAGGTACATCTTGCACACTCACTCAAAGAACACACATTGAAGTCTGGGTGATTAAAGGAAATCAGACATTTAAATATTCACACAGTACATGTTTCACACTTGGAACACCTTTTCTGATGACCCTGTATCCTGACCCTGATGAAGGGCCACAAACAAGATTTAATGTGGCCCATGCCAAAACCAGGGTCAAGATTGAAATGACCTTTGGTCTACTGAAGGCCCGATTCACCTGCCTGCGAGGGCTCAGAGTGGCCCCCTGAAAGAGCTTGCCCTATTATAACTAGTGATGTGTCGGTCGCGAACGAGCCGATTCTTTTGAACGGCTCTTTGGTACGAACGAGGGGAACCGAGTCCTACTTGGTGAGAGCCGTTCTTGTTATCGTTCAATCGTTGGTCCGCACTCACTGCCTGCCAAAATCCACTCGCCTTTTAAAAAGCTTGATTTTGTTCCCCAAACGTATTCTGTGAAGACCCGCCCCTACTCTGATTGGTAGGTTTCAGCACGAGGAGTGAGATGGGGTTGGTCTTAACGGAATACGCGAGAGAGAGAAGTCATAACAAGTGGCACAGGACAGGTAGACAACGTGTTTTTCGGATGGAAAATGAGCCAAACACGAAAACGCAGCAGCATT